AGGACCCCTGTCTGTGAGCATACGGCTCCAGCTGCAGCATCTGTAAATAGTTCTCTTAATAAAGAGCCAATCTAGTTTTACAAGCATGGAGTCCTTTCATGTTATTACCCAGCACATGGGACACGAAACAGAATGGGCCAGGGAGATTAAACTACTCTGAGTGGTCCCTCCACAGTCACTTTGGTGCTATTATAAAGTATTGGAGCTCTTAATTGTTTCAGAAAAAGAGCAGCCACAGAAAGGGCTAAAATGCCTTTCCACAATATCTTCTTTTATTGGGGATAATTTTCCACGTGTGAATATGAGGAGGCTTTTTGCAACACTTATGGAAATATGCTTTGTAACAAAGCTCCATGGCTGTCACTGGCCATCAGTTCAGTAATGTTTCTTGACCACACTAGAGTATGACTCAAGATGAAAAAATTTCCACTTATCAGGAATAATAAACACAGGGCATTGGGTCAGCAACTCTAGCTTTATCTCCCTTTTATGTTGGCAAAGTCAATTCAACCTTTTCTTATTTTGATGTTACAGCCATTTTACTTTTATGGAAACTAGTCTAACTGAACATGTGCAGCATAAAAAATGGAATGGATTTTTATTTTTGCTTCTGCAGGTACTCTGCTTGAAGATTAATAGGAAACAGATGCAAAACTACAGCCTCTGTAAACTAAATTTGCAACTGTTCTTACAGAATGCCACACATTACAAATTCTGTGAATGTCTGCTTGATTTATACACATCCAGGATACACATAAGCTTCCTGCCAGTGAAACCTGCTAAACTGAAGAACACTCTCCTAAAAGAGGGTATGGCTGCACTTAAAGCTAGACTGGCCAAAGCATGAGACAACATACGGTACTATGCAGGGAAATGAACTACACAACCTAGCAGGTCTTCTCCATCGCTAACGTGTCAATCTAGCGTATAAAATATAAAGAAGAGGCAGGTGTCATTCTATTAGAATTAGTGCTAATTTAAACAGGAGAATAATTTCAGATTTTGCAGTTAGGTGAAAATTGGTAAGGAAAAGAAGGATCATCTGAAGAGTAAAGCACAGAATAGGTGACAGGAGAACAGGGTTCTATTTTCTGCTCTGCCACATATGTCTTGTGTGACCTGGGACAGAGTGGCTCTGTGCCTCATCTGTGAAATGCAGATATTAATACCCACCTGACACGGGTGTTGCAAAGCATTTTGAGATCCCGGGATAGAAGGTGCTATATAAGGGGAAATTATTGCTATTAACTGTATTATCTGTGTCCTTGTACCCCCACCCATGCTCTGACCTGGATAGAATAGTGAAATTGCACAATTGAGAGCTCAAAAACCAGCAAATGCCAAATGAAGGTTGTATGTTCAACCTCTCCTCTGTCCCTTTGCATGTATGCATTACCGTATAACATTTAATTAAGCATTGCCAGAAAGCCCTGTCCAACACACCTTACAAGGGTCCTCCTCCGAGGAGGTGTAGAGCCTAAATTTAGAACTAAGTCCACCATTGCTGAGCTCTTTCTCCAGTACAACTTATTGTTCCACTGGAGAGGCTGCTACACACATCTGTGGCTATGCTTATAAGCACTGAAGTACGGATTCCTCCTTATATTCCTTAGAAGTTCTTCAGCTATGGAGACTCCAGTTTGGACAGGAGAGTTTGGGAAAAGGAAGCTTTTTAGGATCCTCATAGCACCTCCTCATTATCAATAATAATAGGAAGCTAATAGGAAAAGGAAGCTTGAGGGGGCAAAGGAATCATTAGGGGAAGGGGACTTATAAGGCCCAGGAACTAAAGGAGATTAGAGCGAGGGACACTACAGCTACAATGTACAACAGCAGTCTCTCTCTCTCTCTCTCTCTCTCTCTCCATCTGCACTACAAGGTGTCATGGCCAAATCCTGCCTTCAGCTACGACAGCGCTATCTCCTTGAAATCAAGGGGTTACATCTACCCAGATTCTGCCTTCAACTATACCCATACAACCCCGTTGCTTTCCAAGCTATTGAATAAGTGGATATGAGGACAGAATTTGATTGTAAGCATCCAATTCATTTTTAAAGTAAAAAATCTGTTCACCTGCTCGGTCAACAAATTTTTCACCGTTTTTTCATTATTATTAGGTACTGAGTGAACTGTATAGGATTCCAGAATGCTGAAAAGCTCAGAATTGAGTATCCGAGTTTGGCTCCTTTTCATGTTTGCTGGGCTGGGCATTAGCTGGGTTAGGAAATGGCTTGGCTGCATGACTTTTGAGACGCTCAGCACTGTATTTAGAAGAATGATTTAGGCTAGAGGTCTGAAGTGTTCTGACATCATTTCTCTGCAAATTGGAATTTTCCATCCTTCTCTTCCCCCTTCTCCTTTGCTTTCATTATCTCTCTCCAACCTGCTTCTGCACATTTATTTCTGCTTTAAAAAAACAGCTCCATCTGGAATGGGCGTACTGCCTTTAAGGGGCTGGAAATACTATACTAGGATCCCAGATTGACAACGAAGTTGGTATAAGGATCCTAAAATGAGGATTCCATTTCCTTAAATCATAAGCAGTAAGAGAAGTAAAATATAAATTAATGGATCCTTGCAGCACAGCGACATTTAGCGTTTCTTCAGCAGTAATTTAGCAGGGGACGTAAAGAATATAATTTGCACTGATGTCTTTGAGCAACTCACTGGGGGAGGAGATTCTTGGGGCAGCGGTATGAAGGAGGTAAATGGACTCATTCTTGTGAATGATGTTAGTTATTTTAAATCCGTCTGTTCTGTGGAACAGGACAGGAGCTTTCTTCTTTATGTATGACTCAATTCTTTTCTTCTCCCATGTCAGTGAGTTTCCCTCATTCTGTCTCTTCCCATTCTCCCAGTCACTTTCATTCTGCCTTTTGACTACTCTTCCAGTCACTTACTTTTCAAATCTTGTGGTCTGATTCTCAGGGCCATTAGGACCTTTGTGCTGCTCCCCACTTCTTTGGAAATGTCAGAGTAGATCCAAACTAAGCTTGCCTACCTGGAGGATGGGTGGTCACAAACTGAATCATATGAACTACTGGTGATTATTGTTATTGTTTGTTTTCACTAGCACTCACAATATGCTAGGCAACCTCCAAACACAGAAGAAGGCCCAGTCCATCTCCAAAGACCTTACAAGATGAAAGGCAAACAGCCAGATGAAGCGTAGGGGAGCAGGGCATAATATATAATTAAAGAAATCCAGGTGGTAATTGGCCTTATTAGGCAATAGGTTATAATAACCCTACAGACTAGAAATGCTGGGGCAGATCCTCAGCTGGTGTCAATTGCCACAGCTCCACTGACTTCCGCTGAACTCTGACAATTTACACCAGCCGGTGATGTGCCCAGCTGTATGCAGTGTTCACGTTTAGCCCTAAGGTCTAAAATTGCCTCTCTCTCACTTCAGGCCTTGTTGGAAATACACCTCTACCCCGATATAACGCTGTCCTCGGGAGCCAAAAAATCTTACCGCGTTATAGGTGAAACCGCGTTATATCGAACTCGCTTTGATCTGCCAGAGTGCGCAGTCCCGCCCCCCCCGGAGCACTGCTTTACCACGTTATATCCGAATTCACGTTATATCGGGTTGCATTATATTGGGGTAGAGGTGTCATTTTGTTTTGTAAATAGGCCTCTTTCACTTATTCATGTTCTTGAGCTTATGGCTGATTCTGAATGTTCCTCACTGTGTTAGCAAATCCAGTGTAATTCTTTTATTTTTTTTTTTATGTTTGTAAAGGAAAAATGATTCACTTATTGGATTATATTAAGTGTGAGAGGTTTAAAGTGCTCACAAAGGATAAAATGGCTGAATTTTATCCACAGGCTATTACCAGCGACAAAAATGATTTAAGTAAAAGAACCTAAAATCATACAATTTAAGAAAAGGGTTGGCAATATGTGGTTTGATTGTAACACATAACAACTCTACTGTGCTACTGATTTTTTTTTTTTAGTGTGCCAACAAATACTCAGCAATGTCTGGCTTTTTGCAGAATATTAATGGAAAGTCACTGTGTTGAAATAACTAGTGTTTTTCCAAAGGCCCCTTTTCTTGATATGCCAACAATTTTCCTAATAATGTTCAAGGAGCTTTACTTGAAGTTCAATGAATGTTTAAAAAAAAAAAGAGAGAGAGAGAAAGCAACAGCAGATCCCACAGAACAAGAACAAAGTCAACTCTTTGAAGAGCAGCTCTAACAAAATACCTTCTCCAAAACTCTCCAAAAAACACATTCATCCCTAAGTCCTCTGTTCAAATAGATAGGCCTTTGCAACATAGTTAAAAGCAAAAAACTGGGGCTGTTTCAATCCAAAAGAGAGAGAATTCTGAATTTGCTGCTATATTTCATAAGAGCATGATCAGAAACAAGGAAAAGTTAAGTTAGAAACCTACCCCACCACTCATTACTTATTTTGGTTTATGCTTTTAACGTAAATGATTGATTCTTGAAATCTGTTGATTCTCCCCAAATCACTTTTAATTATTGCACTCTATTTGCTGCTCCTGAGCAGAATGTTATAAGATGATGATGGTTATTTTGTAACTATGAAATTCCCCAATCCATAGGGAATGGTGCATTTTTATTGGAGTTTCAATAGTAATTATTTATCTAATTATTTTTCTTATTTATCAGCACCATTATCATTATTCAGAAGGTGAGAGTCACAGCTTGGATGATAGTCATGCATCAATACTCCACTTCTACTGGAATATACTTCTGAGGAGATTTATAAATTAAGAAGCATTAGCCCCAGGCTACCATGCTCATTCACTGAAGTAATGAACACTGAGATGCTAATGTATTTCAAATACACATAATCTGCTTTTGTAATGTAATGCAGTATTGAAGATTTAGCAGCATAATTCTCATTGAGTTAACTGATGACATTGAAAACACCCCATTTACAGTTCTCTTGATAGTGAAGAGTAACACAATGAAACAATACCTGCTTGGCTTATTTGTGTAGTTGGACCTAATAAAATCACTTACCTGTGTTGCAGGTACTAATTCTAAATCTGATGCTGAATTGGACTCCAAGGCACTTTTGACACTAGTCAGCTCAGACTGCGATCTGTTCTCTGTAGACCTATAAATAACGCATTTACATATTCATTATTGTACACCAAGAAACTATATCTAACAGTTTAATAAATACATCATGACTAATTGGGTTAATTCTGTTAGCTGAGTAGTTTTTAATTGGTGGATACTGATAGTGCACGGACTCTTCTTCCTTCTTGGTTCTGTCCGTTACACATTTCAGCCCCATGCAAACAATGATCAACACAACCTGTCCTCATAGAAGAGATCTGGGGTATGATTTGCCATTATACAGGTTAAGCCAATGGAGTTACATTGTCATGGACCTAGTATAATGAAGTGGAGAATCAGGCGCACAGCAGTGTTCTCTCTATTTTATAGCATGGTAAACAGAGGCACAGAAAGCCACTGAGGGAGTCAAAGTGTGAGTAAGGATCAGCACTCCAGAGCACCAGGCTCCCAGTCCCTTATTCAGACCATGCCTGTCTCCCCTTGCCCAGTAGCCTAATTTTCTTCCTTTCTAAGTTCTACAAGTGATAATGCAGAAATGAAACACACTGGGCCAAATTCAGCCCTTGTGTGAGTGAGTGAAACTCAAGTGGAAATCTCCGAGCAAAGTTGGCAGTGATGTAAACGGTGGTGTAAAATTGGTGTGGGTGCATGTTTTACCATAAAAGCTCTTTTGATGGAGCTCTAGATGATGAAGATTTTCGTTCTGTAGCTGAATGACCCTTGCCGTTCCTCTCTCCATGAAACTTCACTTCATCCCATTTCTCGAGCTGTGTCTGAATATTTACTGGAAAAAAATGAATCTTTTACGGAACCTAATTCAGAAAACATTATGTCTACAGCTCCATGTAATGGTGGTGAGGAAACTGAGCCTCTAAATCACTAAAATCCTATGATGATTGGAAAGCATATGTTTTAGACAGGGCCCAATCCTTTAGGGCAGTTGAAATTCCCTGGAAAAATTGACATATTCGAGAACCAGCAATAAGTTACCTAAATCTTGATTTTCATAGTCACTAAAATTTTAAGATCCTTCGGGAAATAAGTGGGACTGTGCTTGAACTCAGTTATTGCTAAGGCGGTGATTCTTTCATGGAGGTTGCGGAAGTCACGGATTCCGTGACTTTCCGCGACCTCTGTGACTTCCGCAGTGGCTGGTGTGGCTCAGTTTAGGGCCGCCCAAGCTGCTGGTCCCAGGGCCAGCTGCTCGGGTGCCCCTCGGCTAGCTGCACTGGCCGCCGCTGGAGCGACCTGGGGCCAGCTGCTCTTGCAGTCTCCAGGGCCAGCCACACCAGCTGGTGCTGCTCTGGCGGCCCTGGGCAGCTGGCTCCAGGGACTGTGGGAACAGCGGCCGGTGTGGCTGACTCCAGGGGGGGCGCCCAAGCTGCAGTCCTGGGGGTGCCCTGGGGACCGCCCGAGCAGCAGCAGTCCCAGGGCGGCTGGACACCATCTGGAGAGCAGTCCCTGGGAGCAGCGGTTGGGGGGCAGTCAACCCCCAGCACTGGAGCAGGGCCCCCCCGGAGCAGTGGGGCCCCAGAAGTAGAGATTTAGTCATGGGTATTTTTGGTAAAACTCATGGACAGGTCACGGACGCTGAATTTTTATTTATTGTCTGAGACCTGTCCATGACTTTTACTAAAATCTTAGTAAATCTTAGACTAAATCTTAGCCTTAGTTATTTCAATGTAAATTATATACATTGGAGGGATTGTGGCAGCTTCTTGGCTGTTTTGGTTATTTTTAACCTGTAGATTGTGGGCCAGATTTTGAAAATCCAGCCTCCCTTTTAGCACCTGCAATTTATGGGTACAAATGGTTATGGAGGCAATTAAATCATTTAGTCACATGTCTGAAATGATTTTCAAGTTTATTAAGGTCCTCAGACATCCAGATAACAACTTGAACTAACCTAGACAAATTACAGGGGTAATAAATAAAAAAACAATAAAATATAAGATTGGAGGCTGAAAGCCTCTTGAACATCAGGGTCTTTTAAAGATCTACCCTGATGGAAAGAAACGCTGTTATCTTCAGACAGATAACATTCCGCTTGTCAATTTTTCTCTTGTGGTTGGAAATGATTCAGGTTTGGGACAGTTTGGAAGGAAATGACCTGAATTTAACTTTAAAAAAAATCATTATCCTGCCAAATGTTATCCAGTGATGAGATTTTGATAATCTATATGAATACTGTGCTTGGGCCAAGAATGGAACTCTCACTTGCCACTGCTTTTCTGGGACTGATGTGTTTAGGCAAAGTAGGGTGACCAGACAGCAAATGTGAAAAATCTGGACAGGGGGTGAGGGGTAATAGGAGCCTATATAAGAAAAAATCGGGACTGTCCCTATAAAATCGGGACATCTGGTCACCCTAAGGCAAAGCAGTGTGTTACAAGTACAGTAGGCATTTGTAATATTTGCTGATTTTAAAGGAAGGTCTAAAATGGGTCTGGCTGGTTTGAGAGCTGTGTCTTGCTCTAACTTCTAATAATACCCCCAGGTGATGACCTGGTTGTTTTTTAATTAGGATTTTTTTTCTAACTTCTATTCATCGATTTTCAAAACCTTTCTCGAGAGAGTTCAGTGATCCAGGATGCACACTTATGGTTACTCTTTTGCACATACATTGACCCATTACTAGGAGTGGCTTAAATACTTCTTCTGTGCTGGGTAATATAAGATAATATTTTTAAAGACACTGCCCTCTTCCTATCCTTTACCAGTATTTAACATGTATTGCTCCAGTCCTTCACCTGGATCCCTTTCCTCTTTAGTGTAACGTCTTTTCCGCCGCACACACTAGTCTCTCTGTATATAATCCTGAGAGACCACACCTAGAATACTGCATTCAGTCTTGGCAATTCATTACCAGAAAACAAGAGGGTGGGATTTTCAAAAATATCTAAGTGAGTTAGTCAGTGTTAACTAGGCACCTATCAATAGGAGTTAGGCACCTAACTCATTCAGGTGCTTTTGAAGATTCCACCCAGAGACAATCTGGAAAGAGTTTTGAGAAAGTTGCCCCCCCAATGATTTTACTTACGTTCTGAGAGCTTATCTCACAAGAAGCATTGCTCACCATTTATAAGTTATTGGTTTATATTTAATTAAAACTTGGCATTTGTAAGCCTCTCTCTGGTAGCTACCCTCTTGTTGATTAAAAGCGAATATGAAATGTTTAGTGAGAGAGAGTATGCCAGAGATGATAAATTACTTTCAAACCAGCCCAGCTTGGAAATGTATTATCCTAATGGCTGTCTGATCAACATTGCAAAATGAGTTTGTGGCCAGAGCCCAGCTCCTAATAGATAAGTGTCCACATCATAAAAGTGACCTCACAATTGACACCGAGGGTATGTCTAAACTGCAATTAAAAACCTGCGGCTGGCCTGTGCCAGCTGACTTGGGCTTGTGGGGCTCAGGCTCAGCGGCTTTTTAATTGCGGTGTAGACATTTGGGCTTGGGTTGTGGACTGGGCTCTAGAACCTGTGAGTTTGGAGGCTGCAGCCTTAGCCTGAATGTCTACACCTCAGTTAAACATCCCCTTATCCTGAGCCCCACGAGCCTGAGTCATCTGGCATGGGTCAGCTGCAGGTGTCTAATTGCAGTGTAGACATACCCTGAGTGGCACCTTGGAAAAAGAATGGTTGATTTTATTTGCATTTAACAGCTCCCCTCCACTATAAAAACACTTTACCTTCTATGATTCTTACCAAGACATTCCATTGTACGGGCCAGCTTCTCCATTGCCCTGCACCCCGTGTAGTCATTTACACCAGCGCACATCGAGAGTAAAGTGGGTATAAAATGCTACTAAATCACAATTTACTTGCACTATGCAGTGGTGTAACTGTCTACAGAAGGTGCATGGCGATGAGAAGATGGCCCAGGGTGCTATTCTGTGATAGCCGCAAGGAGCAATTGGTAAAGTTAAGCATGGCTGAGTGGCACTGATGAAATAACCAGCTCTTACCTAAATCTAATGATGACTTCTCTGGCGCTCTCCCAATCTGGACCTTCTGCTCAGCATCCACATTTATAAGGTCTGAGTTGTCTGTCTTCTTTCTGTGGGTTGAAGCCTTTAAGTTTTCACCTCTTAATGCATTCTCTGACTTCTTTGTCTTGCTTTGGGTTTGTAAGACAGGTTCACTCAGATCCAAGAGATCCAGACCGGTTGATAATACTATCAGAGATGCAAAATGTTAGAACTCAGTATTGAGCTCAGTTTTAATTTATTTGATTAGATTTTTCTTTTAAATTTGTTTTAATTGACTAAGGCAAAATTGAGTTAAATTAAACTCATTTGTATTTGACACAGTAGATGTTACATAGTTACTGGGTAAGGACTATGACCAAGATTTTGAAAAGTGACTAGTGATTTTTGGGTGCCTTGTTTTTTTAGGTGCTGGTCTTGAGTCACCTTTAAAAGGGCCTGATTTTCAGAAAGGCCCTTTTAAGTTGTTTCAAGTTGGCAGCAGAAATCACTAGTAATTTTTGAAAGTCTTAGCCCAGAGTTTCCCACATGATCTGGTTGTCCCAGTATTATGCAATTTGGTTCTGAGAGAGGATTAGGACCAGTCTCACCAGTTTAAAGTACTGAAAGCAATTAAAACCTATCTGAGTACCAGCTATTTATGAGATTACTACTGTGTTGTGCTCTATTAGGGAGATGATTATAGACTAAATCAGCTTTACCTGACAGCTTGCAATCATTTTGTGTTCAGAGGTAGGTTTTCAAAGACGCATGTGAGGAGTTAGCGGAATGATTCACACTGACTCTAGCCAATCGCTTTGAAAACATTCCCTTCACAATTCTCCCAGTGAAAAATAACTCTGAGACAATCCATGCTTGCCTTACTCATGCAGCTCATCCTAATGAGGTCTCTGGGACTGTTCATATGGGTAAGGCAAGGAGGATTTGGCCCTCCATATTTACAGTGTTTTAGGGAGGATATTTCAAAACAATCTATGAGATTTGGATGCTCAGTTCCCACTAAACTTTAACAAGAGATTGGCATAGAAATCCTTTAGGCACCTCTGAAAATATCAGTCTAAAATGTGTTAAATACCATAATTAGTTTTTTGGACACTGCAAGAAACACACACCAAGCTAAACTGTTAATGATATTCTTATGAAAGGGCCATTGCCAATATAAAAATCACAGTTGTCTGAAATTTTTTTTACCTACTCATTGATACAAGTAACATATAAGATTATTTTAACAGACATTAAAAAACATATTTTTCTCTCTTTTCCAGTTTTTTTAGTTGGTGTATTTGACAGCACTCTCTTTATATTCAGTTGCACTGTTTTCCTTTGGAGTCGCTTAATTTCCCCTTTTGTTTATGTGAATCTTCCACATAAGAGGAGAGAGAATTTTTTTTTCAGAAATAGATAAATGTGATTGTAAAGCAACAAAAACTGGCAGGGGTATTTTGGGGCAGGCATAGCACCTATAATTACTTTACTTTTTTTTTTAATGAATGCTGCCCCTTTAACTACCTGCAGTACCTACAGTCATTCCTGTAACATATTTGTCTGTGCTAAAAGAAAAACTATTATTCAGTTTCATTTAATTCAGCGTTTCATTTTCTATTGAAAGCTGCATACTGCTTGGGTTACACATTAATTAGAACTGAAAATAATTATCCTCAGCTCTAATAAAGGAATTAGGGATTCTAACAGTTTGAGTTTATATGAATTTTAATCTTTCATTTCACTGAAATCTTGAAGCTGCTAATTTTTATGTATTTTCCTGCAATTTAACTTTTTTAAAAAAACTGTTTTTATCAATTTAACAATTCCATGCAGATAAAATACACCTAACAACTGACATCAGTGCAAAAAGAAATACAACAATAAATCCTCTGTTTGCAGTAGAATAATGGGAAGGGACAGCACCATAAATCACTAAAAAAACAACATATCATATGAAAGCAGTCCAATATTTTCAAAAAGGTCTCAAAAGATGTTATCTGCAATTATAATTATTTTAATTGTTGACTACTTATTACATATTAAGCACCCTTTACTTCTCTTCGATGTACAAGGATGATATAAGCAGATATATTTCAGATTTCCAAAAGTCCATATGCTAAACTGACTGCATTCAAGGTATCACTTTTAATCCTCTAATTGCACATAACGAATTCCAAGGTTAAAGGAGGAAAGGAATAAACAAACAGCTTCCCAGAAGTTCACCAGGTGCATGAAAGCATGGGTTGATAATTGAAGACACTTATAGTTCCTACAGGTCAGAGTTGCTTCTGGTGTATACTTTACTGCTGCTGACCAAGGTTCTTTTGTTACACCTGTTAGTTGTCTGTAAATTTTCAGGCATTCCTTGTCTGTTGGCTTTGACACATTCGTGGAAGGCAGCTCATATTAGATCAGTTTCCCATTTGTCTCAAAATATTCATTAATTTATAGTCACTACTGTAGCATTCACCACCATGGTTTTCTACTGCGTCATACATGGCAACACGGCACCTCCTATTCATACAACGCACTACAAACGTTACTATGTTGAAACCTTGGGTGGGGTTTCTGCCTTCTTCTTAACTGCATTTGTTTTTTTAGTAGTGACATTTGTACAAGCATGAGCTTAGATTTGGCTAATGTTTTCTTGAGCATGTGTAAGAAGCAGAAGTGTGGGTAGGCTGGGAAGTCAACATGAATTATGTATGATCATCGTCAATATTTTCAAAGGCATTACAAAGACTTCAGAGATCCCTCAGCTGAATCCCCTTCATAATATGCGGATCTCCTGCCCAGCTTACTGGGCTTGGAAGGGTTCATATCGCCCAACAGCACATGTTGCAGCGTAGCTTTTTGGGGGGATACCCATGATATGTAGTCTTAACCAGTGAATTAAGAAAAATTCTTTGTAATTTATGATGTTTGTACATTACCTAGCACAGTAGGGCCCAACCTGGTGGTGTCTTTTCAGTGCTAGAATTTTAAATCATAATCCTGCCTTAATTCTGAATGTCCTTGCTTTTGATGGCTTAGTTTCAGACTCAGCGTTATTTCAGCAACCTTTACAATTCAGTTTTCCAAAGCCCAGGGTGAAGTCTTAAGTTGTTGCTTTTTCATCTTCTAAGTCTTGACTCAGTGAATTCGGTTTTGACTTTGGAATTCTAAAAGTATTTGGGGTATGGTGTGTTTGCTATCATAACTGAGTAGGGAAGTACCAAGTAAGGAAGGGGTGAGGTAATGAAAACAAGCAATATCTTGGAAGAAGCCAAACATTCATTGCTGGTGATTGGTTGAGGGAATCTGACATGATGAAAGAGGAGGTGTAGTCCTGCAGTGGCCTACTCTTATGGTGCATTAGTGTAATATCGCTGCCAGTCCTGCTTATGGTGAGCATTTTTTTCCCTCACAGCTCTGAAGCTGTTAAAACATACTGAAGCAAATTGTCAGCCCAGTTAGCATATAAATATATGTACAGTTGTGTGCCTAATCTGTAGGCACAATTGCCCTCATTGCCTTTGAAAATTAGATAACTGCAAACACAAATATATCAGGTACCTGATTTTGGACATACAGATGCAGTATTGTGCACACAAATTATGTGCATGTTTCACATGGCAACTGGCAAGTGCCATCTGTCTGAAACTCTTTCTCAATGTGAAAAATTCATTAATAAGTGGAATCCAAAGCAAGATGTATGAACACAAATTAGAATTCTCCACTTGGCCATTCCAATGGCTTGTAACAAGGCAAGCTGTTTTATGAAATATTTATAAAATATAACAGTTGCGTTGACTACATTGTCCCTCAACTGATTGATTAATTTACTTTGATTAACCTTTCTACATTGCAAGTGGCATATTACCTCTGAACATACCACGGAACAGCAACACTAAAATCTTAAAAACCAATCCTGCAAGACAGTATACTTTCCGTAATTTTGAGTGCTTTCAGGATGACCAGATCATTTTTATTACTTGCTCTATCTTATTGAAACACAAGGCAAATCAGAAATTTATTACATTCTTTCAATAGCAAAGCTCCTGAGCTCAGCTGCAGGTTTTCTCTTCTTTTCCCAGTGGGAAGGGGATAACATTTTAGTATCTCTTTTTTTTCTCCCCAAGTTTTCAGTAAAGCAAGTCTGTACGTGGCAGGAAGACCAGTGTGGTTTTGACAAGCAGAAATGGAGTAATATTTGGCTCATGTTTTTCATAAAGGAACTTTTTTCATTTACAGAAACACCTAATGCTCCATTATGTCCAATAAAGTAGGGAAGTAAAACCCTGTTCTATAATTTAGGTCAGTGTAAGAAAAAACTATACAAGAAGAGGTTTCAATGATAATGAGCCTTCGAAACAAACTTGGCAGTAGTAGCACTGGTATTAGACAGAATACTGTTCATCAGGAGTTTTGTCACAATTTAGATGAACATATATATATTTTTGTCATTAACTGAAATTCACTCCAGCCTAGCATAATTGGTGGAGAGATTTTTGTGGGGATGTGATGGCCACCATCTAGGCATGAACTGCTACAGCTTGAACTAGGACAGTAACAGACTCACATCTTCCATTGATCAGACACAGAGGGGGATCTGTAACATACACTCACCAATGGGATTACAAAGGCACTCTGTACTTGGGAAGAATCTTACTTCACAACTGGAATGGCCATATTCATTACACAAGCCCAGTGGTGAAGACTGCATTGTAGACTAGATGAACTTTATAGAAGTAAGATAATATCTAGACAAAGCCATGAACCATTACTTAAGCCTTTATCAAAAACCATTAACTCCAGACTTAGGAAGTTTCGATAAAACAAGAGCTAGATGCAACCCACCCATGGTTAAGTTTTTGCAAAAGAAAAGCCAGGCTGAGGAGTTACCAAACCAACATCACTTTCCCAGTGGACTAAAATCAGAGCTGTGTATCTCAACCCCTAATTCAGAAGCTTTGGTATAATTTGAGACCTGGATCCTAACAACCCCAGTTTTAAGTTTTGATTTTACAAAACTAAAGCGTGACCAACAAGGTTTTGCTACTCCCAGATTAATCCATTTGTAATTTACTACAACTCAGTTTTGTAAAAATAATTAATAATGAACCTTGTTTGATTTAAAAAAAAAAAAGAAACTAATATGTTATCTGGCAAAAAGTACAATAAATAAGCTAAAATTAAAATTAATTATCTTCCTTTAATGAGTGATGATAAAGAAAATTAGTTACCAGCTGTATTTGATGTTACTGGTCTGGCAATGGCTTCTGGTTTGGTTTCACAGAGAAAGTCATCAATGGAGGGACTCAAGAGGGGTCTGCTTTCTTGTTGCTCATTCACCAGCTGGCAACAGAAAAACACAAGGGTCAAAGAACTTTGTTGAGATGCAAAATCTAAAGAAATTAAATTCATCCTTACAACAGAATGTGGCTAGTTTCTGCTTGTGGGAGAAGAGAGACTCCAGTGATTGTCACCTTTTTCTAAGGTACAGGCAGCGTTGGGGCTAAACATAGACTTTTAACGGCTCTTTCTGAACGTCTTAAAATTATGCTCAAATTTCATAAGCCATCTGTCTTGGTAAAGTACCAAGATGGCTCTTCTATAGCAATTGTTACATGCTATTGATTATAGGCCTAATTAATGAATACCTGGTGGCATGAATTTCACCTTTATATCATCTGGGTGAGAATGACCAGTCAATGTTGATTCATTGAGGTGCATGGGAGGCATCCTTTTTCCACTAATAACTCACACATGCAGAACTTTAACACAATTTATATTAGAAAATACGCATTAGCCCCTTCAATGTAACCTGTTATGTGAGACACTTCTGTGGAATGCAAGAACATATGAATGACATAGCGCGAACTCTGTGGAGTTTATGAACCTTTTGAATTGGTTTTTGGCTGTGTAGGGATTATAAATCTACTCTGCAGTTTGAACTCTTTGCTCCTGTAATTTTCATTGCATGAGTTTGGTGTTTTTTAAGGAAGATTCAATTCAGATTTTCTGCCAGCTAAAGGCAAACCTGTGGTACTGCACAAATTAGGGATAAAAGAATCCAATTATTGTCCCTGTGCTGCAGTTGACTCTCTGCTGTTCTCTTTGCGGCATCAGGGCCTCTGCAGACACAACTGGGTGCCCTTTTGATGGTATGGTTTGACTTTATTTTATCTTTAAGAATGTTTTTTCCTCTGTTCCTTTTATCTCAGTCTCTTTCTTCCCCGTTTTCACCCTTGCTTTCACCCCCCTTGCTCTCTCCCTCTTCTATTCTTCCTTTTTCAAAAGTTTTTATTAAGTGGCACATGAACCCCACCATATTTTTAACATGAGATGACCTTTCAAGCCCAGGATGTTTGGATGGTTCAGAATTGGCTAAAAGGCATTTTCTCATTCTTGTATGACCTCTGTCAACAGCCGCCCTGAAAGTTAGTGACTATTAGATAATGTATAAAAAACCCTCTGATGTGCGTCAGCACTTACCCGGACAACAGAATCTCAAATTATTAAGAGTAGCAGAACCACTCAGCTTCACCGTTCTTATAAGGCTTGATTCTACACCCCTAAAGTGCTCAGCAATTTGCAAGACACAGTACTTCACAAAGTGATAGGTTGGAGCTGATGAGATATGGGGGAGCATGTCCATTTCTGTGAAGAGTCGAATTTTCAAAGTGGCCCCCACATGTGAGCATGTATGTTTGGCGTGTGCACCCACTCATATGCTCAGGATCCTACGTTTGTGCACTCAAAGTAGACGTACATAATGAAAGAGGTTAGTGAGATAAGTGCCCAATTTGTGTGTGCCAATGGGTGCATGGGGAAATTTAGATGCTGGTTTGAAGATTTGGCAATAACAGATTCCCATGCACTAGAATCCTGATATTTGTATAGTCAAATTACAAGTGCACCTTACAAGAGAAGTAATCATATGGTTTTCATCAATGTTTTCCAAATTATTCACTCAATGGAATTTAGGGATCAAAGTCTAATGCCACATTCTTCTTTTTTGAACACATATACAAGTAATTTCCTAATTTAGGTGAATGTCTGCACTTGATCTGGAAACTGCATTTATTCCAGATGCTGATCTTTGATCTTCATTACTGCTGGATCTGTCTGTACACATATTTTCTAGAGCTACATTTCTAGCAAATACTGTTGGTGTGTCAGACATGTCTCTACATAACTGCACGTTCCACTTATGTGATTTTAAGTTTACCAGGTATAATATACTCCTAGTCATTTCTAGTGGGGGGAAACCAGCTTGGATGCTGTGAATATTTTAAGGCTCTCCTTCTTCTTTTTAACGATTTAACAGCCCCCAGAAATCATCCGTCATGATCATCAAGTAGGCCTCTATCCTTTCTTCCCTCTTGCATTTATGGATCCCATTGTAGGATCACCAAGAGCTTTTCTGCAGGGCTTTTGCAATGCTGAAGATCTGTGCCCTAGGAAACAAAAAGCCCAACCAGAAGATTGTCAGAGCTCCCAGGTCAATGGGATCTTCCAAGGTGTATTTGTGATATGCTAGGGTTCTCAGAAAAGTCCTATAGAATTTGATAGGAATGAAACTATAGGTTTCTAAAAAATCTATAGGATTTAATAGTAAATGCTAATATTTCTGTAATTTTTTTAACCATCCTATAGAATAGGATTATAATACACCATTAAATTATATAGGATGGTTTAAAAATGTTATTACATTCTCTGGAACTTTACCTTTAAGGGAAATATGGAAGTTGGGGGTTAAGGATGGGGATATTGAGAGTCATGGGAATGGAGACAGTTAAAATTGCCAGTTGGGAGGGGCATAGGTTGATAGGAGAGGAGCTTAATGCTGAGGAGTTGGGAAGGAAGGATGGCAGTGGAAATTTGGGGAAGCAGCTATGGCAATGTTGAGAATCAGAATGGGGAGAAAAGAGAGGATTCTAATCCGAATGGATCCGAGTCTCTCAAAAGGTTCAGGTGTGGTTTGGGGATGATTAAGAGTTGAGACATATTGTTCCCCCCCCCCGCCAGTTGGCTGATTCCCACATTCCAAGCCATTTCTTTGTTATTCTTACAACAAGGCAACTGTCATTCACTAGGATGATATTAGTGATGTGATGGAGGGGCAGCTCAGAAGCCCCTTGTTAAAATTCTGCTACCAAAATGAAGGAAAACTGAGGATTATCTCTCCTACCACTGTCCTCTGCAATTAGTATATTTCCAGCAAATGCACTTGATCTAACTGCTTGCCAAGTTGTGTTGCCTCTCTCCTGAGTTTTGGGCATTTTTGTTTAGTTGGAAAAACAAATAGGTCCCTCATCTTTTTGCTCTTTCCCTCTGTGACACATACACTGATTTCCTTAAGGGTTAAAATCTTGTGGGAGCTCCTTATAATAAAGATTGCTCACTGGATCAACCCTCAACTGAAAGATCTGGGCTCAAAACAGTCTAGCTAACACAACCATGATGTGTCTACTAATTCTTGCAGCTTAATAAACACAGACTACATATGGCCCAGTAATACAACATATCAGCAACACAGCAATTATTTAGCAGTGGGGAAGGTATTTCATGACATATCAGACTCTTCAACTATAAGGAATCCCACATGCTGACTCTTTTGCCCTTGATAAGCTGGTATAGGAGTAGACTTCTGACTACACTGAGAAGTATGCCATGCAATTTGGTAAGGCCCCCTCTCTCACATCTTGTTTATATAATTTGCATTCCATTGCTGCCACATGTGTTGGGCCAAATTCATGCCTGATCTAATTCCACTGACTTCAAAGTTACACCAGTGTTCTGAAACATTCATATCCATAGTTTAGTATTAATGATGATTTATGGTTCACAGGCACCTTCCATCGAGGCTCTCAGAATACTTTAAAACATTAATGAACTAAGCCTCATAACACCACTGAGGTAGAGCTAGAGAAGTATTGCCCCTACAATATATATACGAGAAAAGTGAGGAAAAGAGAAATTGAGTGAGTTGACCAAGGTCATGCAATAATTTATGTGGCAGAACAGGAAGTATAACCCAGATCTTCTGAATTCCATTCCTATGCTTTAACAACTAGACAACACACTCTTAGTATACTGTAGTATTATAGGATAATAGGGGACAGTATAATACGCTACAGTATTATATATTTGCCAGTAATGCAAAAACTACATTTATAGAGCAGTGTGTAATCATTAATTGACTTATGAATCCCAACTCAACTAGTGGGTGCCACAAATTCAGTGCCCTGACAGCTACATTTTGCTTTCCAAAATCTCATTTAATTGAAACATAGTCTCAATTGAAAGATGTCTACAAACTTGTCTAGTATGCTACTTCCTTATTGACTTCACATCTGAGGAGGCTCCACAATAACATAAAATATTCCTTCTAAATTGAAATGAATTTCATGCACATTTATCTGACTTATGCTATCAGACACTAGACTAGAAAAACTTGTGTTTTTCCCCCACAAGGAATTCTTTTCTCCAAAACCTGCTTGCTTTTGTTATTCCACTGTCATAATCATGACTGAGGGTGTGGGTATTCATATTTTTGGGAAGGTAGTGGGTGGTACAAATATCTGTCTGGAGGCAGACATCAGCCCCTCTAATGTACTCTATAACTCACTTATCTTTAGCTCTGATCTGAGATGAGAAATTAGTCCTTTGTAAAGAGAGTCTAGGTTCCTGATGTGGCGCTTTTGCCTTTCTTTGTCCCATTATGTACTGGCAACTGTATATGCCCCCATTCAGTATACAACATATGCAGTTTCATAGTGCACAGATGGAATCCACTGATTTCCATTTTGCGACTCGCTATCATTCACCCCATTCAGATACTCTCGCCAATCTTGCTATACTAACTGCCATAATGTCCAGCAGGACTCTGGCTTGTGGGGCTTGGAGAACTGCTATGGTTTGTGCCATCATTCCCATCTGCAAGTGTACGGTAATATTTTATATAGCTACCAAGTGCTTTTATTGAATTTACTGGTTTTCTGTCACTTGTCAAGGAGCAATAGTGCTCCTTGAGTCTAGATTCTCTCATTTCCTGACTTCCTATATTTTCCCCTCTGATCACTTTCTTCACCCTTAACTTCAGCTTGACTCTCTCTGACCCAGGGACAACTTGGTGCCACCTGGCAGAGGGCATGGGGTGCATAGGCTTGTACAGGGATCCCTTGGGTTAGATATATGCATAATAGTTCACCAAAGGGTGGTATGTCAAGTCTCTACCGAGAACCAGTAGCCCACTTGTCATCGTAATCATTGCAAAATGTGTATGCAGGTAATATTTAAGAGTTGTGTCTCTATACTAATATAGGTTCTTAAGGTCTTGGAGTTGACAG